AACAAGCAACTAGAAGATGTAGGAGTCGTTGATAAGATTACAGATGAGACTGGGCTGAAGGTGATTGGAAAAGAGGCAGCCGACAAGCTTCAAAGAGAAAGGTCAGAGGAGGTTGTTGACAAAAGAAAGGAAACCGAAAAACAGTAAAGGCATCGAAGCTCTGCCAACTTGATTTTCGTTTAGTACTTCGAGAATAGTGCCATCACACGAGAGACATAGGATTGGATGGATGGAGGGACAGACCGAATGACTGCGATGCCGGAGTGCGAATAATGTCGATTTGTAAAATATATGAATAGAAGAATAAAAATTCATATTCTCATATTTATCGTCTAAGAATCTACATAAAATATAGGTATACCGGTAGGACAATTATCTGTGTGGTACTGTCGATCGAAATTGGCTGCAGAAGGAAATGAGCTGGGCTGAGGTGGAGAATCTGGAATCTGAATTGGGGCATTGGCAGTATTGGTATGACGAGTTTTTGCTACAACGTGTTTACAGAGCTGGTGTCGAATCGTCAGCGAGGTCAGCATCAAAAGCTCTTCCAGCCGAATTTTTGGACGATGACGGAGTGGAAGGGAAAGGAAATCGAAAGCTGTTCTTTTGGAGGGTGCTTCCTTCATGGGAAGAAGGAGACCACTGTCTACCAAAGTTAAAAGTAAGAGGTTATCGGCTGTATGCATCGTTCCACGGAGATCGGGTGAAATGTGATCCAGTCGTGGAATTGTTGAAAGACGACCGTGACGGAACGCTGCGGTTGTTTGCTGCTAAGGAATTTTGTCTGGGAGACGCTGTGGTTTTTTTATCGAATTTCTTCAGCAAATAGTTTCTCGGTGTTGCTGAGCTGGGGTTCCTTTGGGTCTTTGACTTGTCCCAAGGCCTTGAGAATAGGAAAGACGTTTGCCTCTTGCTTAAGACCAAACCTATTGAGGTAGAAAGCTGTAAACATTCCAAAGGCAATGTCTACCGCGACAATAACCATTGGTGGTTCTGATAAGTTGTTCAACAAAGGAAATTCTCCGTTAAAGTTCTTTAACCAGACTTCGGCCTTTAGTCTTTTGTTAGGGTAGTAGTCAGTGAGCTGTTTGTGCTCGGTGCGTTTTTTTTTCTGGCGACGTTTTTTGGGAGATACAGGCGCTGCTGTTGTCCGGCGCAGCTTTTGCGATTTGAAGACCATAGACTGGTCTTGAGGATCATCCGTTTTGAATTTGCTGTCCATTTTGTGGAATTGCAGATTTGAGACAACAAAAGATGTTAAGCCGTGTTGGATATATTAGGATTTTCGAAGTACATATTTGGAGAAACGAGAAAAAGAGAATGCATGTGAACGATAGAGAAATGATGTCGACTGATACGACTAAAAATGAAGACTGATGCGACTAAAAACATTGAGCGTGGCGAGTCAGAAAACGGTTTATATTTCTATGGAAATCATCCTGTTGATGATGTAAGAAAGCAAGATTCAAGCAAGAGCCAAAGTTGGATACTAATCAAAGTACCGACTACAGTGGAAGATGAACGGATAAACAGATTGAACTTGCAGCATATCAGGCTGACGTAGAGAGAATTCTGAGAATTTCCACTGAGCTGGAGAGGAAAGAGTCAAAGTCAAAAGTTGACAGACTATTCTCACTTTTTATAATATATTGCAAGCAACGAGTGAATTGGTTGATAAAGTAGGATCTCTGATTGATCTATATACTTCTATATACTGTAAATTAACATACTTAGAAGGCAACAATACCTGGACAGCTAGATCGCAGTCAATTGAAACAGGTAGATTGCAGGCGGCAGTGGATCGCTTACTTCTAACACTGATTTGGAAAAAAGAAGAGCCCAAGATGCCATGATGTCTCGGCCATCTCTCTGTCCCTCTATGTTTCACTCTCCCTCTGTCGACCACAGGACTAGGGAACTGCAGTCTGTCACGTAGATGGTCGCCACCTTGTTCTGGAACACTGTGCCATTGGGACGCTCTCCATTCACTTGGATCGATACGCCCAGGGCATTAGTGTTGGATATATTAGGATTTTCGAAGTACATATTTGGAGAAACGAGAAAAAGAGAATGCATGTGAACGATAGAGAAATGATGTCGACTGATACGACTAAAAATGAAGACTGATGCGACTAAAAACATTGAGCGTGGCGAGTCAGAAAACGGTTTATATTTCTATGGAAATCATCCTGTTGATGATGTAAGAAAGCAAGATTCAAGCAAGAGCCAAAGTTGGATACTAATCAAAGTACCGACTACAGTGGAAGATGAACGGATAAACAGATTGAACTTGCAGCATATCAGGCTGACGTAGAGAGAATTCTGAGAATTTCCACTGAGCTGGAGAGGAAAGAGTCAAAGTCAAAAGTTGACAGACTATTCTCACTTTTTATAATATATTGCAAGCAACGAGTGAATTGGTTGATAAAGTAGGATCTCTGATTGATCTATATACTTCTATATACTGTAAATTAACATACTTAGAAGGCAACAATACCTGGACAGCTAGATCGCAGTCAATTGAAACAGGTAGATTGCAGGCGGCAGTGGATCGCTTACTTCTAACACTGATTTGGAAAAAAGAAGAGCCCAAGATGCCATGATGTCTCGGCCATCTCTCTGTCCCTCTATGTTTCACTCTCCCTCTGTCGACCACAGGACTAGGGAACTGCAGTCTGTCACGTAGATGGTCGCCACCTTGTTCTGGAACACTGTGCCATTGGGACGCTCTCCATTCACTTGGATCGATACGCCCAGGGCATTAGTGTTGGATATATTAGGATTTTCGAAGTACATATTTGGAGAAACGAGAAAAAGAGAATGCATGTGAACGATAGAGAAATGATGTCGACTGATACGACTAAAAATGAAGACTGATGCGACTAAAAACATTGAGCGTGGCGAGTCAGAAAACGGTTTATATTTCTATGGAAATCATCCTGTTGATGATGTAAGAAAGCAAGATTCAAGCAAGAGCCAAAGTTGGATACTAATCAAAGTACCGACTACAGTGGAAGATGAACGGATAAACAGATTGAACTTGCAGCATATCAGGCTGACGTAGAGAGAATTCTGAGAATTTCCACTGAGCTGGAGAGGAAAGAGTCAAAGTCAAAAGTTGACAGACTATTCTCACTTTTTATAATATATTGCAAGCAACGAGTGAATTGGTTGATAAAGTAGGATCTCTGATTGATCTATATACTTCTATATACTGTAAATTAACATACTTAGAAGGCAACAATACCTGGACAGCTAGATCGCAGTCAATTGAAACAGGTAGATTGCAGGCGGCAGTGGATCGCTTACTTCTAACACTGATTTGGAAAAAAGAAGAGCCCAAGATGCCATGATGTCTCGGCCATCTCTCTGTCCCTCTATGTTTCACTCTCCCTCTGTCGACCACAGGACTAGGGAACTGCAGTCTGTCACGTAGATGGTCGCCACCTTGTTCTGGAACACTGTGCCATTGGGACGCTCTCCATTCACTTGGATCGATACGCCCAGGGCATTAGTGTTGGATATATTAGGATTTTCGAAGTACATATTTGGAGAAACGAGAAAAAGAGAATGCATGTGAACGATAGAGAAATGATGTCGACTGATACGACTAAAAATGAAGACTGATGCGACTAAAAACATTGAGCGTGGCGAGTCAGAAAACGGTTTATATTTCTATGGAAATCATCCTGTTGATGATGTAAGAAAGCAAGATTCAAGCAAGAGCCAAAGTTGGATACTAATCAAAGTACCGACTACAGTGGAAGATGAACGGATAAACAGATTGAACTTGCAGCATATCAGGCTGACGTAGAGAGAATTCTGAGAATTTCCACTGAGCTGGAGAGGAAAGAGTCAAAGTCAAAAGTTGACAGACTATTCTCACTTTTTATAATATATTGCAAGCAACGAGTGAATTGGTTGATAAAGTAGGATCTCTGATTGATCTATATACTTCTATATACTGTAAATTAACATACTTAGAAGGCAACAATACCTGGACAGCTAGATCGCAGTCAATTGAAACAGGTAGATTGCAGGCGGCAGTGGATCGCTTACTTCTAACACTGATTTGGAAAAAAGAAGAGCCCAAGATGCCATGATGTCTCGGCCATCTCTCTGTCCCTCTATGTTTCACTCTCCCTCTGTCGACCACAGGACTAGGGAACTGCAGTCTGTCACGTAGATGGTCGCCACCTTGTTCTGGAACACTGTGCCATTGGGACGCTCTCCATTCACTTGGATCGATACGCCCAGGGCATTAGTGTTGGATATATTAGGATTTTCGAAGTACATATTTGGAGAAACGAGAAAAAGAGAATGCATGTGAACGATAGAGAAATGATGTCGACTGATACGACTAAAAATGAAGACTGATGCGACTAAAAACATTGAGCGTGGCGAGTCAGAAAACGGTTTATATTTCTATGGAAATCATCCTGTTGATGATGTAAGAAAGCAAGATTCAAGCAAGAGCCAAAGTTGGATACTAATCAAAGTACCGACTACAGTGGAAGATGAACGGATAAACAGATTGAACTTGCAGCATATCAGGCTGACGTAGAGAGAATTCTGAGAATTTCCACTGAGCTGGAGAGGAAAGAGTCAAAGTCAAAAGTTGACAGACTATTCTCACTTTTTATAATATATTGCAAGCAACGAGTGAATTGGTTGATAAAGTAGGATCTCTGATTGATCTATATACTTCTATATACTGTAAATTAACATACTTAGAAGGCAACAATACCTGGACAGCTAGATCGCAGTCAATTGAAACAGGTAGATTGCAGGCGGCAGTGGATCGCTTACTTCTAACACTGATTTGGAAAAAAGAAGAGCCCAAGATGCCATGATGTCTCGGCCATCTCTCTGTCCCTCTATGTTTCACTCTCCCTCTGTCGACCACAGGACTAGGGAACTGCAGTCTGTCACGTAGATGGTCGCCACCTTGTTCTGGAACACTGTGCCATTGGGACGCTCTCCATTCACTTGGATCAATACGCCCAGGGCATTAGGGCGCAAGAACAATTGGCTTCCCACCTGCTACACAATCATGCCCACCATCACCTTCAAAAAAAACTCAAAAAACAAAATAAAAATACGCTGCCCCGAGTGGCAAGATCGTTTCTACATGTGCAAGGGTGCAATGTAATATCCGATGAGAGCAACTTCCCTGGGATTGGATGCCTCACACTGGTTCAACAGTACTGGACTCACCTCCGTATGGTAAATGGCCATGACAGCCGTTAACGGCAATCTAGAAACTTGAGATAGTTTTAATACGATTAATGCATCAGTTATATATGTTATCCTTCATGTTAAAGTAAATTTCTTTCCTGTTTCAGCAACAACAACTGTTTTCCTTTACGTAGAAAACGCGTAGGACTGGTACAGTTTTGTTTTGGTGCTGTGCATGGAAAATAATCTTCTACCTTTTAGTTTTTGATTTTTGATTTCTGAGTTTTATATCAAAGTACCGACTACAGTGGAAGGTGAACGGATAAACAGATTGAACTTGCAGCATATCAGGCTGACGTAGAGAGAATTCTGAGAATTTCCACTGAGCTGGAGAAGAAAGAGTCAAAGTCAAAAGTTGACAGACTATTCTCACTTTTTATAATATATTGCAAGCAACGAGTGAATTGGTTGATAAAGTAGGATCTTTGATTGATCTATATACTTCTATATACTGTAAGTTCATATACTTAGAAGGCAACAATACCTGGACTTGTGGGCTTGGACTAACAAACGTCTGAGCGCCACGAAAGTCCCAGACTGAATCCTGCGGGAGTTCAGTGCGTGGGTTTTGTACCGGCTGTTGGATATATTAGGATTTTCAAAGTACATATTTGGAGAAACGAGAAAAAGAGAATGCATGTGAACGATAGAGAAATGATTTCGACTGATAGGACTAAAAATGAAGACTGATGCGACTAAAGACATCGAGCATGGCGAGTCAGAAAACGGATTATATTTCTATGGAAATCATCCTGTTGATGATGTAAGAAAGCAAGATTCAAGCAAGAGCCAAAGTTGGATACTAATCAAAGTACCGACTACAGTGGAAGGTGAACGGATAAACAGATTGAACTTGCAGCATATCAGGCAGACGTAGAGAGAATTCTGAGAATTTCCACTGAGCTGGAGAAGAAAGAGTCAAAGTCAAAAGTTGACAGACTATTCTCACTTTTTATAATATATTGCAAGCAACGAGTGAATTGGTTGATAAAGTAGGATCTTTGATTGATCTATATACTTCTATATACTGTAAGTTCATATACTTAGAAGGCAACAATACCTGGACTTGTGGGCTTGGACTAACAAACGTCTGAGCGCCACGAAAGTCCCAGACTGAATCCTGCGGGAGTTCAGTGCGTGGGTTTTGTACCGGCTGTTGGATATATTAGGATTTTCAAAGTACATATTTGGAGAAACGAGAAAAAGAGAATGCATGTGAACGATAGAGAAATGATTTCGACTGATAGGACTAAAAATGAAGACTGATGCGACTAAAGACATCGAGCATGGCGAGTCAGAAAACGGATTATATTTCTATGGAAATCATCCTGTTGATGATGTAAGAAAGCAAGATTCAAGCAAGAGCCAAAGTTGGATACTAATCAAAGTACCGACTACAGTGGAAGGTGAACGGATAAACAGATTGAACTTGCAGCATATCAGGCAGACGTAGAGAGAATTCTGAGAATTTCCACTGAGCTGGAGAAGAAAGAGTCAAAGTCAAAAGTTGACAGACTATTCTCACTTTTTATAATATATTGCAAGCAACGAGTGAATTGGTTGATAAAGTAGGATCTTTGATTGATCTATATACTTCTATATACTGTAAGTTCATATACTTAGAAGGCAACAATACCTGGACTTGTGGGCTTGGACTAACAAACGTCTGAGCGCCACGAAAGTCCCAGACTGAATCCTGCGGGAGTTCAGTGCGTGGGTTTTGTACCGGCTGTTGGATATATTAGGATTTTCAAAGTACATATTTGGAGAAACGAGAAAAAGAGAATGCATGTGAACGATAGAGAAATGATTTCGACTGATAGGACTAAAAATGAAGACTGATGCGACTAAAGACATCGAGCATGGCGAGTCAGAAAACGGATTATATTTCTATGGAAATCATCCTGTTGATGATGTAAGAAAGCAAGATTCAAGCAAGAGCCAAAGTTGGATACTAATCAAAGTACCGACTACAGTGGAAGGTGAACGGATAAACAGATTGAACTTGCAGCATATCAGGCTGACATAGAGAGAATTCTGAGAATTTCCACTGAGCTGGAGAGGTAAGAGTCAAAGTCAAAAGTTGACAGACTATTCTCACTTTTTATAATATATTGCAAGCAACGAGTGAATTGGTTGATAAAGTAGGATCTTTGATTGATCTATATACTTCTATATACTGTAAGTTCATATACTTAGAAGGCAACAATACCTGGACAGCTAAATTGCAGTCAATTGAACAGGTAGATTGCAGGCGGCAGTGGATCGCTTACTTCTAACAAGCCGTGTCTCGGGGGATAATGGGCTAGTATGGATTACCTGTAGGATGGTGCCAATGTTTCCATTTAGGGGCATGGTGATAAATTGGGATGATGTCATCGAAAAGGGTTATATGTAATCCGCTTCAATTTTCCAAGTGTACATAATACAGAGGCGCAGGCTGGAAATAAAATTAGTGCGGTGGAAGAAATGGTGTGCATGGCGTTTGAGAAGAGTTGATGTAAAGTAAATATTAAGGCTATGTATTCATATGTCATCATCATATATTCGTAAGATGAACTAAAATGTATTTTAAACTAGTTCGTTTTCCTCTTCAGACTTGTCGTCGTGTTCATGTGTAACATCAACATCTGTGTGTTCTTGAGTCTCTGCATCTTCGTCATTGTCACCGGTTTTATACGGATTTGGACGTTGGTCGTTGGCATCATCAACATCGTCATCACGTTTGTTATCGTCGTTGGATGATGATGAATCCGATTCATCATCTTCTGTTGTTTCAGGGTTTGGACTCAAATTAGTCAAGGCAGAATCGGGAATTTCGAAATCTTCTCTTATGAGAAGTTTTTTGAAATTTTCATCATCCAAGATTCCGACGTTTTGTGGATAGACGGATGTGAGACGAAGGTTAACATTTCTGTTCTCAACTTTATCTGTTTCTCCCTTGATGGAAAGGAGCCCTCTCTTGCACCAGCCAATGATTTTCCAACCACCATTATCGTTGATGTAACTGATCATGTTTCTGATTGGCTACGTCGTCGATGTAAGTGCATTTCTTCTTCAGGAGGGGTCGTGGTGCTCGTGTAATTTACCAAGTTATGAAAAAAGACTGACATCGTCCGAAAGGAAGATAGACTGGCAACATGTGTGTCAGAATTGAAATGGTTTTGTGCCACGGGAATCCCAAAATCAAACTCGTATACCAGGGAATTGCCTGGAGAGCCAAATGCACAGATGCAACCATCTTTACCCCAGTGCCGATCGCATTGGTACCCGGTGCACGTTCGGGTATTGAATTTCATTCTTGTCAATTTGATCGTTTTTCCTTCCTCGACAAAGAAAAATGTTTGATCAGAGTCTCTTGGGAGTTCGATCGGTGCTGGTT